CTTGTCGCACTTCCCGTAAGTTTGAGCACAAAGTGACCTTTACAGCCATGCGAAGGCTTAACTTGATGGTTTAAGACATATTAGAGGGGTCAGATCTGAAGTTTGGATGTAAGTCTTAACCGTTTAAGACCTGAATGTGCTAAACAAAGAAACTAGGCATAACGCTGGGCGTAATCCCAGTAAGCGCCGCGTAAGGGGTTGCGTACCCCGTTTCTGGAAGGTAAGAGTATGCCCCGCGTACAGGAGCTGGTACGCCCCGTGTACTGCTCGCTGTTAACTTTTAGGGTTTTAGTCAACATGTGGACTTTTGGGTGAGGGAGGGGTAAAATGGTCTTTTACCCTTCTGTGGAATTTTAGAAGGAATATAGTATAGCCTTGGGAGCCGTTAATGATTTAGAATGATTATTTGATGTGATTAGGCGAGGCTAGATCGAGGTTACAAGATTCAGAAATATCAAGCACGTGAGACTTAGACATCATACGAGGTGAGTCTTCTCACTATACTGTACCTGGAAGGGTACCTAAGTGTGATTGGAAGGTCTGGTATGCTATAAGATATATGCACTGTATGTTAAGTTGCCTGTTTTGTATGCGATATGTATGTTATGCTTGATTTGGGCCGGAAAGCATTATGTTATGGTCCGGAAGGCATTATGATGTATTCCGTAAGGTCAGTGAGTTATGGACCGGAAGGTCGACACGGGTGGGACTGGAAGGTTTACCGGGTCGGGACAGAAGTCCCCTGAGACACATAGACCGGAAGGTATCGCCCGGAAGGGCGTATGTGTGTAAGTGGTATATTGGGGGAATTCATTAAGCATATATTCTTAAAGTTGTTGTGTTATGTGTTTTAGGTATTATTGAGAACCGTGGGAAGGCGTCAGCATGACTCGTACACATACACACACGCATGCAGATTTGGATTTATTTGAACTTGGGATTTGACATGTTTTGTATTATGATTATGATACATTGGATTTTTATGGTTTGATTTGGATGAAATTATGTTTTTAAGAAATGAAAATTTGTTTTGAAAAATTACGTTGTTACAAGTTGGTATCAGAGCCTTGGTTTGAGGGACTCGGATGCACCTTTAGGTGTATGTGAACTCAAACTAAGGATTTGAGAAATTTTCAACAATAAAAACTAAAGTTTCAAAAAGAGCAAAGAGTTTTGAAACAAACAGAGCAGAGCAGTGTGTACGATTAGCCAACGCCTAAACGGTGAATCCTCAAAATACCCTTACAATATGTGTTATGAGATATGTTATGTTATGTTATGCATGCTAGAGTGGGCTAGGTATTCATATTAGGACTAGAGTGGCCTGATTTGTGATGCCTTAGCCTAGGAGAATCCTGTTGCTATGAGATGCCTTGAGAGCAAGTAGGTAGTCAATGCATAGCGAGAATAGAGTACTTGCAATCCAGGATCCAAGGAGGTGGACTTGGGGTGAATGTTGATGCGGTGTAGTCAGTAGTATAGGGTCCGTACTACTGAAGACATAGGATCAGTGAGCAGCCCAGGTAAGAATCCTTTCGGTATTGGAAGACGAGTAGGGTTGCGTTATCGAGTGCGATTATGATCGATCGAGTCTCTGATATTTTTATGTTGTATTTCAGAGGCATCATGGTTGGGACACGACACACACCTGAGAGCACTGGGGTTAGTGACGAGGAGATCTTTCGATTGATTATAAATTAAGTGCGCGAGTACGCACGGCTTACGCCCAGCGTACTCACCAAATCATCTTTTCAACTTCAAGGGACTAAAATGCCAACTCTCCAAAATAGAAGGGCCATAAAGCTAACCTGGATTTCGGGCTGTTACATGAACATTAACCAATTCTAGAACCTCCCATAGAGGTGACAGATACTACAGGGTTTCTAGATGTTTTCTAAAGCTTTTCTTGGGCTTTAAGGAAGCTTGCATGGGTTGGGGGGGGGGGGGAGCAAAATGATTAAGGTTATCTAAAAGTAACATGACTTATCTTTAGCCTCCCTATCACCTATATAAACTCTCATGGGCTTGATTTTTGGAATTCACTTTATTCCTACAGAGAAATCCAAAAATATTCCTTCTCCTCTTCTCTCCTTTTAAGCCTCCAACTTGCTAGGATTTGGATGTGAGTCGTTAGAGCCACAAGACATCTGGTGCTTGATTTTTAAAGACCAACAAAGAAGGAATATTAGTTTATTTTCTATAATATACCAAACATATGTATTTTCTAATAACCCTTTCATAATTTCAATAATAGCAACATACTTTTACAGTTCTTGATATTCAATACTTGTTTGAAAATCATAGTGAGAACATAGATTCTTTAGGTTATATGTAAACTTAAGGTTTAGGTTTTTCTGCCAAAATAAGATTGTTGTAACCTATAAAACTCATCAATTGAAGAGTGGTTATAGGGTAGGTGTATACCTTTTCTATTATTTAATGGAGCGGTTATATGATTTAAGAGTGCGTTTGTCCTCTTTTATAATGAAAAACCATTTGTTTTTATTTTATTTTATTTGTTTTGTTTTTTTAATGTGTTGTTATCACATTTTTGGTAAAATCGCAACATTAAATAAGAGTATTTTTTGATATGATATTTGTTGGTGCTATTTAATATTTGTACCTATTAATCACCTTTCCGTACTGTTGATTGACCAGTTGATGTATATCATGGCCACTAACCATAATATCTCATATGTTGGGTAGAAATTAACGACGCCTGGTGCTCTGAATTTTCAAAATTTTCATCAAATTTTTTGATTTTTAAAACATAATATAGGTTGAGGGCTATGATGTCTCGAAACTTTTTTCAACTAGGTGCCTCTATTAATGGTTGAGACCGCATAGGCAGTCAACATGAACCTCTGTAAAAAGATTTTGTGTCCTTGAAGGCAAAGAAAACTATCTACAATGTCAAGATTATCGACAGAGGCATAATACTATGCTATTACAACCACCACTAATGGAATTTGTTGACTTTAACATCTGCTACGAGACTTTGGTATTGTTTCTAGTGATCCTACACTAGCATTTTGTGACAATACTCTGGCTATCCAACTTGAATCCAATTCAACCTTTCTCGAAAGGAATATATATATTGAAATTGAAAAATTTTAATACTTTAAAAAAAGTTCCATCATCGTAGAAACTATTACTATTTGAGGAATAATTAGTATTGTATTAATCATATTAATCCATTTTGTTATGATGTTAGTGATATTTATTAACTTTCTTATGATATTGATCATATTTATTTATTTTTTAAATACAAAAAGTTATCAATTTAAGCTCCCCAATTAATCTTCCAATCAATCTCATCTAGTTGATTAATCCCTTAACCTCAATCACTAACTAGCTAACGTTGAACGTTTTTTCGAAATTGATATGTTTTATAATTCGTGGGTTGATTTTTGTTGTTTTAATTTGTTTCCGTATTGTAATTTAAGGCGGATTATCTTAAGACTGGTAGTGGTCTTCGTGGATACTGAAGAATGGATATACGGTACGTACGATAGCCTTTTTATTATTTAATGGTGCGGTTCTAGGATTTAGTAGTGCATTCTCCTCCTCTTTAAAGAAAAAACCATTTGTTTTCTTGGGTGTGTTTATTATATTTTTTTGGTAAAATCGTACCGTTAAATAAGAGTATTTTTTGATAGACTATTTGTTGGTGTGATTCAATATCCGTACCTATTAATCATTTTAACAGCAAAAAAACTTTTTTTACTATTGATTGCCCATTTGATGTATACCATGGTCACCTAGAAATTAAGCAAATAAATAATGGTGCTCAACATTTAGAGTTTTTCATCATAATTTTTTATTTTTAAAACACAATACAGGTTGAGGGCTATGATGTCCTCTAAAACCTTTCTTTCAAGTAGGTGCCTCTGTTAATGATTTAGAGTGCATAGGCTATCAACACAAATGTCTGTAATAGGATTTTGTGTTTAATTTTATTGATGAATTAAGTGTAATATTCGTGTATTACATGAATTGATTAAAAAAAGATTAAATATCAAAGTGTAAACAATAACTATTTTTTAAAATAAAATTTGGAAATAAGAAATAAAAAAAATATTAATTGCAATTTATTAATACATTTATTACATATATACTTTACATATATTGGTATAAGTATTTGTGACTTTTTAATTTTAAAAATTAAAAAAACTAACATGTGGATATTATTTATTTCAAAATTATGACAAAATAATAAGTATCAAAACTTATGAAAAATTCAGATATAACAAAATAAATCTTTATTTATTATAATAAATATATAATCTCCTTAAAGGCAAACTAACTAGAATGTCAAGATCGTCAACACAGACAAAATATTATGATATTACAACCACCACTAATGGAATTGGTTGGCTTAGTATTTGCTATGAGCTAGACTTTGGTATTGTTTCTAGTAGCATACACTAGTGTTTTGTGACAATATTCCGGCTATCCAACTGCAATCCAATCCCAACTTTCATGAAAGGAACATATATATTGAAATTGACGGTTACTTTATTTGAGAGAGTTTTGGATTGCATGATCAAGCTAACGCTAATACATACCAACACCAGTTTTATTTATTTATTTATTTATTTATGTATTTTAACGACAAACTAATTTATTCGTAAATCATCACTTATATCTCAATGAAACATGAACATATGATCTCTCAATTGAAAGAGTCATTCCTTACTGCTAGGCTAAAAGTTTTTTTTGTACACAACATTAGTTAGTAGACTTTTTCACTAAAATGTTTCTAAAATCAAAACAATTCTACCAGTTATTTCCAATATGTCTCTTTAATTAACACATATTTTAGAGTTCATCTTGAGGGGACATATTGGATGTATTTATGAGTAGTTAAAAATGGTAGTTAAGTTAGTTAGGGAAGCTCGATTAGTTAGTCTTACCATTTGGTAATTAGACGAATGTTAGTTTCTCATGTATAGGATAACATGTTGTATATATAGCATTACTTGTTTTGACATTAAAAAGTGAGAAGAAAACTTAACACATTTCTGGATTTCCCTTTGCAAATTATAATACTTCATCAATACGTTGCTTTGCTCGCAGTTTGTAAGCAATAATTTGTTATTATTTGATGCACACTTCATTATTCACCAAGTATAGGACCACAAGGTATACATGACTCGTACAAATATAATTTTAAGAAAATTTACACGGAAAAAGACAATAAATGGTTCTTAAATGCAGTTTGTATCGTTGTTCAATCAACAACATATATAATCTACTAATACGACTTGTACATGGAACGAATTTCCTTTTTCGTCCATTGTACATTAGTTGCACGAGAATACTGTTGGGCGCCTCAAATATATTAAAGCACTCATACTTATGATATATTTGATCATTTAAATCATTTAAATTCATGTTTTACAACACCAGGAAGGTGTGTATGCTGGAAGTAGTCTTCCCAATCGATTACCCTTGGGTCAAAGTAGAAGTATTTCTCCTCATCTCCGCTGTCTCTAACTGCCCTACGTAACTTTTCAGTATTCATATCATCATAGCTGTGTAACAAGTTAAGTTTTGTAAATTCAGATGATAAAGCAATTATGCTAAAAAGGTTGATCATTATCTTAAACCACGAGTTATTAATGAATAGTTGAATACTTACAAGCTTTTTGTGAACAGGTAGGGTTCGTAAAGGTCAACTAGTCGCAGCACAAAATTGATCTTCCGTTTAACATTCTTATACGTGCTCGCGAAAGCTTGGCAAAATAAAAGATTTATAAACCAAAGTACCTAATCAACGAAATATAAGTTTGTTAATATGTAAACGAGAAGAACTGATAGAAAAAAAGAATATGAAATCAGTCAAATCACAAACCTGCAATGGGAGTAAATAACGAAGTGCTACATATCTATGGAAGCTAGCCATCGATTTCAACACTGTAACTTCACCCACAACGACAGGAGTACCATCCTTTTCAATCCATGGGTGCTCAGTAAAATACAGGTAACCAGATTTTTGAATTCTTGTGAATTTTAAAGGGTTTGATACAGAAGACCCCACATGGTAAATTGTTTCAGAAAATGTTTGATTTGCATGAGCCGCTATTGCCACGATCATAGCATTCACCACCATGTCAGCGGGTACCTAATGTTTTTCTCCACGTCAATAACTGATTACAAAGAATTGAATTTCCAAATGAACGTTACAACATGTTAAAGATGTTTTGAAGAACTCACCACATCATATACAGCTTGAGGATCACCAAGGAAACAAGTTAACCTGCCTTTTCCATAACCAAGAGCTAAGCTATCAATGGTCCTGTGAATGTCAAATACAAGCATTATTATTTTTCACCTTTTCACCTTATTTTTCTATTTGAGGATTTCTCATTCAAGAGCTTTGACGACTTCTCAAAAAAGATAAAACCAAAGGGTAATCATTTACCTAATGCCTTCAACCCAGCCGGGGAAGGGTTCTTTGTAGGTGCTGGTGACAATGGTCGGACGAAGAATAACCACCGGCATGTCTCCTTTCAAGTGCCCGATAATCATCTCTCCCATGGCTTTGGTAAAAACATATGTATTTGGCCAACCATAGTGATTTGCCCTAGTGTAACAAATAAAAGATAAGTTAGGGTTTTTTTCCGATTAAGTTTTGTGTGGATAGATTAGGTTGAACGGGTAAAATAAGTTATATTTTATTTTTATAGCGAATGGGAATTAATATTAGTAACTATTTACCCTAGTATCTGAATGTGACAAATAAAATTAGTATCTATTTAATAACTATGGTAATAAAAGTTGTACATGACAATACTAAAATAAAAATTTAAAAATACCAGGACTAGCTAGCTAGATGGAAATTGATGTAAAAGAACTAGGAATTAACTATGGAGTATTTGAAAATTTTGATTTTGATTTTGCTTTTAAGATTTCTTTAATATTGATTAAGTTTTATTATGTGAAAAAGAGATTGTCATAAATAAGACTATAGTTTTGAAACAAAATAGAAAATTAAATTATATAATTTATTAGACAGAATGCATATATAAATTTTTACAAATTTTATAAAGTAAATTATTAGAGTCGAGTTAGTACTGAATTAATCATGTATTCATCAAATATTAAAGTTAGATACTATACCTTTCCATGCCCAAATCTTTCATGGAGATTTTAATGGATTTCTCGTTTGCATTATCATCACATTTCAATTCTTTTAGTTTCTCTTCAATAATCTTCCTCTCTTGATCGATGTCGAGCCCAGTTGTTCCATTGAGTGACTCTCCCAGATGGTATGGAGTTTCAAGCATTAGTCCTGGCTTCTCACCGGAAACATAGGCTGAATACATATAAATTAATTAGACGACGGATTAATGAAGGATAGAAAGAAAAAGGCATTAAATGTTAAAACATTAGGTTTTGATAATGACTTTTTATGTATAATAATAAAACCGGTAACTTTATCCAAATTCAATTCTTCTCCATCTATTATTAGGCATTCCATATTGTTTTCACATAGGGCTTTGTTAGTGGTTGATGCCAAGTGGGCAACAAAACCCTTGAGAGCCATTAGGAAGGTGTTCATGTTAGAGTGCCAAGTGGACAACAAAACTGGTTAATCTAACATGAACAACTGTCTGGTGGCTAATGATTCTTAATTAATGATCGTGATCAATAATTATAGTGGGAAGGACCATGGACAACAAAAAATTAATTTCTTGATCTGGCTATCTCTTTCTAACTCTCTATCTCTTTCTAAATTTTAAATAATTAAAAAAATATATTATTTATTTAAATAGTAAAAAAAAAAAAGTAAGAGGATATAATGATATGCAAGGTTTAAATGGTTGTGTGATGATGACGTGACAATTGTATTTCTAATTATTGATTTGTTATTATTGATAGATAGTCAGTCATATATGATCTTTATCTCAAACAATTATAAATGATTTTTTTTCATTTTTTTTTTAATATATATATATTTAAAATGAAAAACATATAATGGGCAGTTTGTCATCTTGCTTGTTAATTTGAGAATGACATGACTATAAATTTAATACAATTGAATTGATTAGACAATTACTAGGTAGAAGGCAGAAGAAAAAGGCATTAAATGTTTTCTATCATCAAGACTAGAAAGTCAAACCTACTAGTTTTGTTAGCTTACCTTGCATAATAAAAGAGAAAGGATAATTTAACCAAAATTCAGTTTTTCTCCTCTATAATCTCAAACTTATTTCACTTAGATTTAATTTTTGTCTTACTTATCTAAAAAACAAACATTTAGCAATTTTAACGTTGTGCTTAACTGCTTATTAATTTGATAATGACATGACCATATATATATATTAAAAATAAAATTACTAAATACGGAAATTCAAACATTTTTGTATTTCTATATTTATAAAATAAAAAATTATCATTTTATAATTTATTGTTATATATAGAATTAACATTATATACTCTTGAAAATACAAAAAATATATATTAAGAATAAAAAGGTTAAAATGTAGATGAGTGAAATAGGTTTCTCATTACGGATTTGTACATAATATTTTTTTAATATATATAATAATTTATGTTTTAAAAATCATACTATACAACAATATAAACACAGAAATCGTTGTGAATGGTTTAATTAAAAATATTATATAGCGAATCATCATCATTCTCATTAATTGGTTTTTCCAGCTCGTTGTAGATAAGAAAAAAACACACAAATTATAAACTTTACTACTGTTAAATAATATTTAACCCAAACAAAAAGCATGTTTAAACTAACCAGTGGACACATGGAGAAACAGCTTGATGTCGACACATTTCTTAGCGAAGTTCATAACGTGTCTTGCGCCAAACGTATTAAGGGGTAGGGCAACGTCGTATCTACAAAAAACCAAGTAAGCATTAGTTAATTTTTTCCAAAGAAAAACAACAATACACGAAGTTAAATCCAAATTTAAGTTAAAGTTACATGCCAAATATAGAACCAAATCCGTTCACTGGTACATCTGTACATACTCATGATTAAATCATTTATAACATTGCCCATTCGGGCAGTATATAATTAAAAACTTCTTCTTTAACTTTTTCTTTATTTTTTTTTAACATAGATCTATCTGATTCAGATAATCTATATGATCTCAATACCTTTCATCAAAGTTGGTGCTTGCAGCTACATTAACAACAACATCAATATCTCTCCACATTTCTTCTTTCAAAGTGCTGTCTTGTATTCCCATATCCTCATAAGTGATGTCTCCAGCAACCGGAGTAACTTTTTCGGATAAAAACTTTTGCAGGTTTTCACCATGTGTCTCTTTCAAGAGCTTGAACAAGTCCTTAGCTACTGCCTATTGATATTTATGGAAAAGAAGACGTTATATTATCTGCTTACTGTTAGAGTTATTATGACCAAAAAGTATGTCATAAATTCATGCAGAAGTACCTCAGTATTGAAGCGTTGCAAGGCAGATTCAGTATCAGGTGCCCTAATCAGAAGATAGAGTTTCTTCACATTTGGTTGAACTCTGAGGATTTTCTCCACAAAAACTGCATTTACAGATAGTCATGTATAATTATGTTTAGAACTTAATAAGCCAGTTTCAACATGGACATGGCATCTGAAGTTCAACTAACATAGAGATGGATTTGAAGCTATCCATATCGTTACATTTTGTTAGATCTACTTAGTTTAACGAAAATTTTAGCATTTGCATTGTTAGAATGAGACTCTTTTAGTACGCTCCTTAATTCTGTAAATTATTTTAAAAAAAAAATTTTCTATTCTTGTCGATCGGCCTCTTTGCACTTTTATGAGTGCACTAACATGTGATTAAACTTAAGGAGGCGTTGGGTAGCATAAAATATTTCAAAAACTCGTGAAACGACTATGTAAAACAATAGAGCTTTTGTAGCTCCTTTCATCAAAACACCCGTGATAATTCATTGAACCATGCATGGTCGGAATCTAGTTAATTTTATTGACAGCATTTCCAGTTAAACAATAGAGTTGCCCAACAATCCTGATTACCAACACTTTTTCTGGGAATATATATATATATATATATATATATATATATTATATATATATATATATATATATATATATATATATATATATATATACACACAGAGAGAGAGAGAGAGAGAGAGAGAGAGAAAGAAAGGGCATACTTTTCGCAAGAAAACCAGTAGCACCAGTGATTAATATGACTTTGTTCTCAAGAAAGTCAACAATGCTACCCAGCTCCATGGTTCGATAGCTCAATATGTTTATATGTTGTATGTTCCTTGTTCCGCAGAGTCCTCTGTGTACATTTGCGTGTATTAGAGAGAGAGAGAGAGAGAGAGAGAGAGAGAGAGAGAGAGAGAGAGAGAGTAAATTTACCCGGAGTAGTATACAGATGGTGGATGAGGATCTATGCAGACGATATAATGGCTAAAGTAGTATGTCGCATACGCGAAATAATTGTAAACTGGGAAGGGTGAAGCGCTGAACAATGATAGAGTACACGAAACTAAGCTTTTCTCCACTCGTTCCCTTGTACATCATATTATATTTATATCTATGTATATTTGACCCACTTGATATTAATATGTGCAGCATATTAGTTAGATATTAATAGTTGAGCCAGTTTCTTCATTTCCTTCACTCAACGAAACCGATGGAAATCAACTTTAGCAACTAACCTGCCGATATATATTCATGGATTGATGAGAACATCGTAAACACGTGAGAAAGTTTGATAACCTGAAATAAACATAAGTTTGGAGTACTACCGAGTTGACAAACTGCCAATAAAAATATCTTATTACGTCGGACCTATAGCAAAACAACCTTGGAAATTTTGGCCCGTGGGCGGGATACATAATATGATAATACTAATTAAATTTAAGATTTGACATAAGCAATTTATGTTTTCTATATAAGTTATGTTTTTTTTTTTTTTTTTTTTTTTTATTGGTAAATCACATGAAATAGTTAATGACGTATTATTTTAGGTATTGCTTGTTAATTATTTGGAGTTTACAATTCTCTAGGGATTATTTATATTATTACAAAGGAATGAAGCGGAAAGACTATCACGCTTTCTTTATAAGAACATATACATTGGTCGCCATAAACTTATGCAAATAGAATTGGGATGTAACAATCTTTTAGGCATAAGTCTTCATATTTCATACACATTCCAAATGTTTTTCCCTTGATAGCCACTACACGATTGGTAATCTAAGTTGGGAACAGTGACGAGTCTAAAATAGAAAACCATATAGTTCACTATTTTTTTTATATATTTTTTTCTATGTAAATTCAAAAAATTTATTGATAAGATAGGTCCTAAATATTTTTTAAGATAGATTCTTAAAAATTTTCTAAATAAGATTTATAAAATTTAAAAATTAGGTGGCCGGGTCCTACGACCCACCTTCCTTACACACAGTCTCACAACTGGTTGGGAGTATAGTTAATCGTAAAATGTCCGACTTTAATAGTTTATCGACTTTTGTGTTGATCACAACATTTCTATACCCCACCTGCTCTCTCTTTCTGGCATACAAGGTCATTATCGGGCTAGATATTCAACCCATGACGCCCTAGCTCTCTGGGAGGTACGATAATGTCTACTAGTTAACATGAGAAAATATGTGTATACTTTAATGTAGAAATAGTGTCCACACTTATGAGAGTTGGCAATATTACTATTAATTGTAAGGTCATTTTGGCTAATGTATGGACATAAATAAGTAACTAATGACACGGGAGTCATATTGGGGTCTAATTTCCTAATTAATTAATTAATAAGAAACTTATAGACTTAATGAATTTAAAATGTAAAATTCAGAAACTCATATCTTTTAGGATAATTACCAAATTTAGGATAATTATTTAGTAACCAAGTAATTATTCTCAAGAGTTCAAAAATCTTCCCCTTAAAATAAAGGGGTCAATGGTCAGATTTGATGAAGAGTTTTTCACAAAGACCTAAACCTAAATTTAGGAATCTCTCTTTATTCTCGAAACCGTAAGATTTCATTACGAACGCAGTGCATCTAGGGCATCACATGGCGCGTCCAGGTCGAATCAAATATTTGTGTTGGGCATTCAAGTTGTTCGCTAGTTGGGGTGAAGTCGGATGTTGTTGATATATCCCTTGGGTATGATCTGGAAGTGAAGTTTTAATTTAGACTCTAAGCATTCCACTTTACATAAAGATCCAAGAAGGTTTCAAAAGACTACAATGATATGTTTTATTATTTCTTTTATTGATGTTTTATTGCATTAGATCTTCTTGAACTTGGATCCGTCTTTTGGTTTATGAGGTTAATTTGTATATTGCTTTTGATGTACACCTTTGTGGCCTTTTACATCCAACATAACCTAGCAATAGTATCAAAGATTGGTTGTTCACATATAATGCACATTGATTTTTGTTATGTTTGTGTTAAGCCAATTTGCATGTTAGTAATCTCATTAGATCATATTGTAAAAAGAGTTTAAATTTTTATAATTGCTTAGATATTTAAAACGAATTAGAGTTTTATGGATTTTACGATCGTGTAGAGCCTTGTATGTATCTGTGTCAAACCCTATGTTACATCGCATGTATGTTAATCCTCCACGGTGCTTAGAGCTCTTCTACCCGATGTCATGGTCATTGTTCATGTATGAAGTTTTTTTTTTATTTTATTTTATTTTATTTATTTATTTATTTATTTTTTTTGAGTTTGTTTTTGTCACACTTATGGATGTGACTCGAATCTCGTTTAAATATGGTTGTTTTACAAAATTGGATATCATTTTTCATTATTTTGATTATTTAATTTTAATTTTTAATTAATAATAAAATCATGAAATTGTTGTTTAGATGATCCCACACATGTGAGATCATACAAAATGTAGTATGTCAATTGTTTTCAACTTTATGATTATCCATTTAATATAAAAGTTGCAATCCAAATTGAAAATAAATGTTTGTTTTTAATTGTATGGATCCTAGACACCGAACCTTAACTTGACTTATGCGTTGTATACTTGGTTGTGCTTTTGGTCTTTGTGACCTATATGTAATTTATTTTCTTTTGTAATGTGTAATTTTTTAATTGTGATATTTTCAGTCAGGAAATTTGTATGAGAATAGAAAGTGTAATTTACTAAACACTAGAGACCATGAGAAGGATCTATAAGTTTAAAGTCCTATGGTATTCTTACTGACATCAAATTTTGGTGGTTATGTGAATGGGAGTTTTAAAGGTTCCTTTTTCCTTAGTATCACTTGTCTCTCGTTAGATGGCTCATAGAGGAGACGTATAGGATTAAAGTTGGTGGTATTGATTGTGTGGTCATTTTACTTTTGCATATTTTCTTTCACAAAATTAGAAGCACACAAATTGTTAAAAGTTAACAAAAAAAAAAATAAACTTTTAAAAAAGTTTATAAATTGGCTAAAAATTGAATCGTTTTCAACGCACCAAGTTAAAATGTATTAACTAGAAAAAAAAAATCTATTTTTATGAAAACGTAAATATCATGTTACCCATGAAAACACATACTTTGTTATAATCTTTTAATGTGGGGAAGTGATTGTAGCCAACATGTTAGTTATATTATAAATAAGTAGCGACATTTAATGTAACTTGGGTTGGATATCATAGTGGTTTCGCATGATTGATTTACTAGCTCAATTCGTGATCATCAAAACACCAAAGATGAATTTTAGATGAGCGTTGTCACACTTCCGACTGGAGGTGGAATACGTGGGGTGATGCGACGTTGGGAAGTTGGACCATATTCATTGAACATACATTAAACAGTATAAAATAATATGTGACATAAATATCACTTCCATTTTTAATGTATAGATTACATGATAAAAATGCTTCTAAAAATACTAAACTTCTAGCATAACTCTAAGTTTTGGATAGGTTGGCATCTCGATTTGCTTTGAGTAATTCGCCCAGTGAACAACTATGGTGACACATGAAATTTTCCAGTCTGTTTTAGTTTCCTAGGAATACATGTGGATTTTAAAAGGTCAACATCATGTTCATGAATTCACAGGTTTTTGATGATATTGAAAATACTTATTTTCCTTTGGGTAGGATCTTTGTTTATGAATATAGTGTTATATTTCGCTTTCTATTCTCAATCCTATGTTCTCAACTTTCTGAAATTTTAATATCTTATTATACTCTAGGGATATTCGGATGGATAACTGGAACTTGATTACCTATAATTACTAAGGGTGTACGTGACATTCCCATTTTTCATGGTCAGAAAAGACCGATTTGTTTATGTTTTGTTTGAAAATCAGAGTATCTTTTAAAGAAATATGTTGCGGAATTTGTTCCCAAAAAAACATGATAAATACATTATCAAATCATTTCCGAAGAAATTTATTTTAATCCTTTTAAAACGTTGGGATGTCATCGTCAATATAGAAACATAAGCATAAACAGACCTTATATTCATTTACACTAGTAATCTACATCTCCTTAATTTCTCAGTGGAGTTTAGTTTTACATCGACACCCATGATACAAGTAAATTGAGTGAGTTATGTTGAGAAACCTGGTGAGTACATAGGGATTTCAATCCAACAATGTTATATCACATATATATTTTAGAACTCACAAGTATACAATTTCACCATGTATAAACAACTCTTACCCCACCCCCACCAATCCTTTTAGCGACACTGTCCATACTTGTCACACCCCAAAACCAAGAACGGCGAAAACGTTCTGGGGCAGAGGACGTCATGTAATGTATCACAACAATGCAAAGTAGTAAACAAGCAACAACATCATCCATTGCATTAATAGTATAATTTTAAATACAAGTGTGTTCTTTCAAAGAATAAAACAACATAATGAATAATCAAAATAAAATACGAGTCTTAACTGCTCCGTCTTCTCAAAACCTGGTCAGCGTACCGGTCTATTGGTGACCTGAGAATACACAAGTTATTTTGAAGGCGAGTATCAGCATAAAGCTGGTGAATTCATAAGTATTTTATTTTCATTGATTAAAAACTTGTAATGAAAGATTTGTAATTGTTTTGATGAAAAGTTTGTATAAATATAAAAACCCTAGAAAATCCCATATAGGATAAACACGGCGTGGTAACTCACCGAACAGTACAACCGAGAACATCCGAAGATAAACACACCTTCTGTTGCGAGCAGCCAAGTGTAGGATGGTCAGTCCATGAGTATGTAGAAGTATAACTTCCTATAGTATGTAGTAGAATTTCTTCATATAGTATGTACTAGTGTCTCTTCGTATAGTATGTATTAGTGTCTCTTTGTATAGTATGTACTAGTGTCTCTTCGTATAGTATATATTATAGTAGTGTATGTATTGACTCATTTATGCACTAACTCTCAGTGTGATTCCTTGTATTAGGAATAGTAAATAGTATCTCCTAACTATACCTATTATAGTTACTAGTAATGTACGTGTATAACCGAAAGTATGCCTTTGCTACCCAAAGGTACTGAATTGACTAATAGAACTTTTATGTCTGCATATGTATACATAATATAGAACTAATATCTAGATGACATTCGGACAAGTATCCGATGCCCTAAGGCCACATCCAAACAAGGAAAAGGAATTAAAGAGAGCTAGCAGTCCTAAGTCCTTTTAACATTACTTATATAACTATACATATATAGGCATTTATTTGACAATATAAAAGTATAAAAGAAGTTTTATAAAACCTTTGAAAAGTTAATAAATAAGAATTGATGACTTGATGTCAGTTTATAAAGTGATTTAAAAGCAGTTTGTCTGATAAGAACAGTTTAGAGTGTAAGAAATCCTTTGTTTGAAACACGGCTTGAAGTACATGAAGACCTTTGTTTGAA